GAGTGGCTCGCTCACGGCCGCAATCATGAACATCTGTCGGCTCCCACTGCAGATCCTTTTACCTCGCTTCTCAAAGAATAAATATTAAAAGAAAAGGCAGAATGCGTCGGTTTCCAGGTTTCCGTGTGTCCGCGCCACAAAGACGACCGAGGCTTTCACCCCTCATGCATCGCAACGCTGTGGGAGCAGTTCTGAGTACGGACCAACTCTCTCTACTCTCTTCGCAATCGGGCTTTTTGGAACGATGAGTTGAGTGGAATGTTCGCAATAAAAAATGACCAGTAGCATAGCATTTGAGTTACGATTAGAGTTTGATATGTGCGTTTCGCCTCTTGCCTTCTCAAATTTACTCTCCAATAGAATTTTCACTCCAAATCACCGTACTCGTGCACTTCATGTATCTGCGTAGTGTAATTACTTAATTACCTTTACTTATCGCGAACTGCATCATGAGCCCACATTTGTCATGGCATTCGCAGACGATGTTACCAATGATGACCATCCTACGCATGAATGAAGCCGCAGCCGCTGCTATAGGTCCGTGAGTGGTGGTCTCGGGTGGCCCCCTTTTCCCAACTCTCATGCGTGGTCGGGAGGGGAGGGGGGGGGGGGTTAGTGGATGACCTCAGACAACTATGTCTACATTCTCACAGAAGGGCAAGCAACAGGTGACGGTAAAATAAATCTGGACTTGAAAGAATGCTATTTCAATTGGAAGTCGCACTAGTGACATTCGAATGATGTAATTATTTTTCTTTCCTCCGTCTGAGCATGATCCTCTCAAGCTTCTCAGATGCGATATGAGAATAAAATCAATTCGGAGACGGAGACCTCGCACGATGATGGGATCGAGGGGCTCTAGGAGCAAATATACTCCTTGAAGAACGCCAAGATATGGGACGGGCTCTCCGTCCTACTCTTCACAGATTTCTAGCAAGACTCGAACGAGGCTCCAGAATGCAAGGAAATCCTCTGGTTCTTCCGCACTTCTACACCGTCCGTATCCAGAGACGTAAAGGAGTGAGAGAAGAAGGGAACCTCGGAGATGGATCATCGCCAAAATAACCCTTTCCGATCGCGTCATTGCTTTCGTTTGTTCGTGGACGTTTGTCATCTGCGTCAGACATCTTTGATTCCAGGAACGACGAAATAAATTATCTCCCCACGGGATCGGAATGCAAAATATGAGCAGAATTTCTTACCGGTTCGCGCATATCGCCTCTCAAGAGAAACAGGTGGTTAGCCTCGCCCATTCCCTGCCCTCCCCACGGAATCTTTTTTAAATCAGTCAAGAGTTTTTACATCACTGTAATGTCTAAATCAAATTGCTTTGATCTTATTCTAGAAGACAATATTGGCTTGTATTACGAAAATGGAAAAAAGAAAGGAAATAATAAAGTCACTCGAATTGTAATGCTTTGGTGGCAGTGAAAATTGTTTTGCGGTGAGATGTGATGAAAAACCGTCGGCAGCAATCGGCGATAACACGAGCGATCATCGATCAGCTGCGGTCAGAGAATCATCTGGACTTTCATATTTACGTGGCTACAAGCAAATCCCACCCGCTCGCTATCCTAATTGACAGAAGTTAAGGACTCGCCACTTTTTCGATATCGTTACCTAACTAGGAAGCTGACTCAAGTGGAGTGATATCACTCTATCCTGCACGGTAGTGCTTTTCCATTGACGTTCCCCTCTTCCAGTAATATACATAGAACTAGTTTGAGAAGGCGAATATTTCCTCGCAAACATAACGATCTCTCTTCCTGAAACAAGCAAAAAAAATGTAAAAGGAAAATTACAATGACAATTCAGCCCATGCATTCACAAAGGAGGAGAGGACTGTAAGGGATATTATTTCGCTGTCTAAACAAACTACAATGACAAATTATTTCTTCTTCTTTATGAGGTGGAAGAGAAATGGGATTTTGTTTCAAACTCGAGATAGTCCCACACAGCACAGGTATATCCCAAAGATATCACAGAGATATCCCCTTGGGACAAGTGAGAAGTCCCAGGTAGTACTTGCAGGCGCCTTCCTATCCGCAATGGATTCATTTCCTACCGCACAGGAGAACCCATTACTTTTAGTACAATACATTGTATTTTATAATACATTATAATTTAAATTTAGAAAACTACGATTTTCCTATTTTGCATCTCAGGGCTACCCTTTCTCGGGGGCATAGATGTTGGAAATGGTCTGAGCCCATGTTCGTGGATATTTTAGCTGAACTACTCTTTGACTTCTTTCATTTAGAGGGTTGTTAGTCAAAAACTTGATTGAAATTTATCGTGGCTTGCCTAATCGATGGTTCGTAATTCAATCGAACCATAAAGGCGATGAAAAATGTACATGGGATGACATCCCATGAATGATGGCGGATATTATCATAATGGTGGCTGCAGATGGTATGACTTTGCAATGCGCCGAGTCAATAGAGTCAAGTCGCCAAGAAGGAACTACACAAATCAGTTCTGAATGATGCACCAATCCTTCATGCGTTGCATGACGCAAATCGAGATGAGGAGCAGCTGATTAGGAAAAGACTGGAACCTTGAATACGAACTGCAAAAATGAGTGTTGTGAATGAAGTACTGTATGAACCTCTTTATGAAGGGCAGGAATTGTCTCCTCCCATTTTTCGACGAACCGGAGCATTGCAATAGTCACTTTATCACCCGATCGCAAGTAACGGGCTTGTAGTTTGTTTTCAGCAAGCATCCTCTTCGTTGACTCGTATGTTACAGCCGAGTACTGTAACCCATTTGATTCAGCTTAACAGAATAATAAATATAGGTAATGGCAGCATATGATGGCACTCCAAAAGTTTTGAGAAACATCTATATTCGCCAGGCCAATCCGCTTTTACAGTTTTTCTAAATATTCCCTCTTGTGGGCTACACATCCATGCATACGCATAATCACTCCTGGGAACATGCTAAGAAGTCGTTTTTGCTGAAAGCTAGCAAACCAGTTCTGACGGCTTCTTCCAACTCTTTAACTCCCCCACAGAAGACGTCCCTTTAAGGGGTTCTTATCATCTTGAGGAAGAGTTGAGGTCGCAAGGAGCCTGATCAGGGGAGTAAGAGGGATGAGAGCACATGGATGAAATTGTTCTGGAAGCAACCAGTTGCGGCGAAGTAGTGTGCGAAGAAGCGTTGTCAAGGAGCAGCATCCACTACTTGGGTGGAGTCTTAGGTTGGATATCAGTGAGGTCAAAGAAGACTTGGGCATTCATTGGTTTTTGTGACATTCAGATGTCATTGAATGAATGAGGCACCTATCTGGAACAGACGTTCTTCACCATCAGTTTCTCTCGAAGAATGGTATGGACTGCACATGCATCAATCCCCCATGTCTACTGACTATGCGCAGGTCATGTGACAACTTTTTCCCACTAGTTTCCCTACACCTTCACATGCTTGCTTGCGACTAGCAACCCACAAAGCACAAGTATATCCCTAAGATATCCCCTTGGGACAAGTGAGAGGTCTCAGAGATGACTTCTAGGGACACCTTAGGGATGTCAAAATGTCTGGGCGCAACGACATCCTAAGGATGTCTCTTTCTTGAAGAACTAGCACATTCCAGAGATGTCCCAGGGATATCCCCTTGGGACAAGTCCCGGACATTACTTGTTGGGACATCTCAAGGATATTAAAATGTCTGGGCGTAAAGACATCCCAAAGATGTCTCTTTCATGCAGCACAAGTATATCTGAAGGATGTCCCAGATATATCGCCTAGGCAGGGCCGTTTCTGGGGATGTTGGCGCCCAGGGCAAGCAGTTCCAATGGCGCCCCCCCCCCCCTCCCCCTTTATCCCGCTGGCGCCCCGGGCGATCGCCCGCCCCTAGAAACGGCCCTGTGCCTAGGGAAAAGTGAGAAGTCCCGGGTAGTACTTAGGTGCCTTCCTATCCGCAATGGATTCATTTCCTACCGCACAGGAGAACCCATTACTTTCGAAGATGTCTTTATTTGATCTAGGAACACCTAATCTTAAGTTCCTGACCGATTGAAGAATGACAATTTGGGGGAGGAAAATCCTGTTCCTAAAGGGAGCTCCTTCATAGGAGATACATCTCCAAGGGACGAACTATAGCACCTTTACACGAGGGGTCACGGACAAGATGATTTAACCTTACGCCTTTTATAAAGTATGGTCTCAGGCCTCCAACCAAGAAAGTTGTATCCAGACATGCCGATCACTCATTAAATAGAATATAGCGGAATAAATTAAAATTCGGACGCAGTTTTTCTGATGTACGGTACGAAAATCCTTACTTATCCTAGGACAAATCAAGTTGATTAATTCGATAGAAAAGATCTGAGGTTGCAGATCATGGCTCATGGAAGACATCCACCTTCGAAGCTATGCACCTGACTGAAGGCGACAAGGAGCACTGAAGATCCTTAAAGACATCCCTAAGATGTCCCAAAGACATTCTCCTCAAAATAACCAGAAGCCTTCGACTGAAGATGTCTTCAAGATATCCCGTACAGGATATCCAAAAGCATTCGACTAAGGATTTCTTAAAACTATCCCGAAATGGATATCTCTAAGATACCGACTGAAGATGGCTAAAAGACGTCTCTAAGATGTCCCAAAGACATCCCTTTTGAGATGTCCGTAACAGTCCGAAAGAAGATGTCTTCAGGATATCCTATAAAGACCATGGGACAAGTCGTCCAGTTAGGGACATTCCTGGGAACTCACTGTGCTGTGTGGGAATGGTTGACCCTTTTTTTTTTTTTAGGAAAAACCAGGAAATGTTCAAGAAAATGCACAAATGTTAGTCCTTGCAATGTAGAAAAACCAGGACACCAGCATGGAAATTAAGGCAAAGAGCTCAAATCTGCTACGCACAATATTCAAAATCCACAGAATCTGGGGGAAAATGAAGTTTGAAGCTTTGTTAAAATTTAATTTTTCGAAAAATTTTGGAGTGCACCTTGTAAAATGAGGAAAACGAAGAGGAGGCCTACAAGCACCATTTGCGTTTATTGTACATGAAATGGATCCCATATCTTAATTAGGACCCACAACTTGTCACACTTTTCTATACTTAGCAACATACAAGCTAATGAGTCACTAGAACAATATAGAGTACATAAGTAATATTAAGAAAAAAAAACTGGGTAAGGACTTCGGTTTGTATAGGGTAATGGGAAAGCACAGCAAAAGAAAATCAGTCTATGGGTCTTGACTCAATTTGCAAACATTCCTCCATGAGGAAAGAAGAGGGATTTCTCCTTCATGGCATATACTTCCAGAATAGCTTGCAGCTGAAGGGAGCAATTGCACTTTGAAATGTGATCTGCTTCCCAAATGATTTTGGGATAATTCAGAGGTGCTGTGCAAGGTTGCACAGGTATCATCTTGTTCCCTGTAAAATTCCAAAACCCAGCCACCAAGTGGGTCTGGAAGACATCCCTCATTGTCACATGCAAGTCTTCAACTGCTGTGAAAGTTAACAAGGATTTTGGGAGTCCCTCAAAGACCTGCAAATGAAAGACAAAGATAGTCTTCTATTATAGTCTTCAAAGTGATGAGCTTTCATCTGACCATTAGAAACTGAGTGTCATACTTTGAAGGATGGATCTATGTTGAACTTAGCATCTTTGAGAGCAATAAGACAGACAGCATTCCCAGCAGCAAGGCAGCCTAAAATCAGCAGGTCCAGGTGGCTCCTGGGGATGTTTTCCAAAGGTAGGAACATGCAAACCAGTCCCAGTGGCTCCTTGTATGTGGACCACAGACCAGGTGGATTCTTCCACTAAACCAAGGAACATTTCATAGTACATTTAAATTATTCTGGGCTGTACTGTAGCTCCATCCATCCCAAGTATAATAAACAAACATGCTCACCATGAAACAGGAACCAGACCTAAGCATCATTCCAGTAAAAAGGTGAAGAAAATTCTCAGTATCTGAATCTGGTTCAAGAACTTCATCTCTGATGGAATCTAGTGCCCTTGAGAATATCCTTCTCCTTGTCTGATCATTTACTTGTAACCACTCCTTCTGTGCTCTGAGAGCACTGGTAAACTCTTTCTCCAAAGAGACCCTGAAGAAAATCAGACAGATGGTATAGGTGGAAAATATTTTGAGCATAAGTTGAATTTTTTCTTGCAGAAAAAGGCCAAGGAACCATTTTGGATGCAGAAAAGCCTCAGACAGCTGCAAATGGGCAAAATGCCACTCTCCACCTTCTCCCTTTCTATCCTCCAGCTTCATATATCTAGCCAAATCTATAATAAAAAGGAAAATAAAACGAATTGACAGAAAAAGCCTTTCAACTGAAGAAAACGTCAGATGAAAACATAAGAACCTGATTGAGAAGGCAGGAATGAAACTTCCATGCTGTTGAACATGATCAGAGGGACCTATGAAGGTTGCAGAGAAAAATCAGATACACATATGGGAATTGACATAATGCTAGAAAGATTAAAGCCCACAGGGAGAAGAAGAGCAAACTCTTGAGCCTGGTGCATGGAAGAAGACCAAATGGATGCAATGGAAACCATCTTCTGATTTGAAATGAACCCAAGAGCTTCCTTGGCAGTGCGAAAAGGTGACATCCACACCATTCCTCTTGGTACATCTTGACGAGATATGATCTTGGCTGCTGGAGCAAGTCCACTCACAAATCCTGTTACTGTCCCTTCACATACACTCACCTAGAGGCAAAGAGTAACTTTGATCAAGGCCAATAAAAACAAAGTTAAAAGGCAGAAGGATCTCACAGTAGCTCCTTCTTTGAGAGCCTCATCCCTCCAAACTTCCCACTGTACTGGCAACTGAGTTTGTTTCACATCAGAGCTTGTGTCCAATGCTTCCCCAACAGTCATTCTCTGAAGCTTTTCTTTCAGCTTCATCTCAAATTGTGCATGAATTCCTTCCTGAACCAGTGTCAGGCAATGCTGCAACAATTAATTGCAATCCTATCCTTAGAGCAATTCTATTCCCATACTATGACCAAACTAAATGAAAGCTACAGAGGGCAACCTTTGTTTGTCCTCTCCTCCAGATGCCACTTGTGATAGCCTCAACAGCTGAGTCCAAGTCTCCATCAGAAAAAGCAATCACTGCAACCCGTTCACAGCTTGTATCTGATGGATGAAAATGTCAAGACCCCAAGACCGGTAGAATATTTTTAATGTTCAGAGGGCATCTGGTAGATTTACCAATAACATGGATATCCCCTGGAGGAATCTTCAGCTCTTCAGCTGAGAAGGCATCAGCTTTCATTTGTCCATGGATAATGGATATAAGGTGCTTGGGGATGCTGCATGTTGAGTAACAAAATTGAATAAATATTCTCATGGGGCCTAATCAACTTAGTCATATCCAAGTATTACCCTGCTTCCTTGAGACCTTCCACAATGCATGTGGCCTCAAGAAGAGCATAATGATCCTGGATGAACATGATGATTGCATTTCCAGAGAGAATGGCTGGGATGACGACATGAATGAAAATTTGAAGAACATCAACAGGAGGGTCCTGATTTCTCAACACCAACACACCTGGCAAATATTCATATCAAATATGAACATTCAAATGTTTAGTCAAAAGAAACTGCAGCATACAGAGCATAATACCTTTAGTGCCAAAATCCTTGAGTTTCAACCTTGAAATGATCAGGTCTCCCAATTCAAGGTTTCTTAAAAAGGCTGAGATGACTGGATAAGAGCCACTGACAGTCCCATTGACTGATAGAGCATGTAGAGATGCAAGGATATCTTCTTGTTTTCGTAAGAAGACAGCACCACTGTATATGAGAAGGAATCAATTTTTATTGTTACCTGAGGAGCTGGAGAGTCCAAAAAGCATCTTTTGGAAGATGGCATTTAAAAAAGCACAACCTTGAGATGATGCTGCACATCTTGCTTCCCAAATAGGAAAGCCATTGTTGTTGGGCTGCACGTGTTACTTTGAGGCATTCTGAGAAGATGGGAAGTTCTTTCTCAGTGACTTGTACAAAGTATGTCTTCCTTTCTTCAGCTCCCTTTATCCATTTCTGCATGGATACAGCATTTTAAAGCAACCACGAAGTACAGGAACCAGAATCAGGAATTTTAAAATTTAAAACCACATGTACCCCTTTTCTTTAAGGTTAGTATTTAATTCATCACCAAATAATATTGACTCTGTCACAAAGAAGTAATGATTCATCACCAGACCTGATGAATCTTACATCAAATTCTCCCTTGGTATCTACACCAGATGCCATAAAATGACCACCAAATTTTATTGACTTAGCACCAAATTATTGTCACATTTTATGTGTCAAAAGATATAAATTTTTATTTTAGCGGGCCTGCAGGGAAGAACACACTGACTATCCCGGCTGTGAATGAGCATTCTGAGTGTTTGTCAGTCTTGCTCCAAACAGGCCATGTGTATTCAAAATTTAGAGCTCTCACAACTCAGAGGGAGAGTCTTGTTCTCTTCAAGTTCTCCTAATGCTCCAGTTTTCTGATTAGATACACTTGTGCACTTTTTCGAACCTCTTCCTTGTGGCATTGCCATCACTGCAGGCAATGATGGCATCTCCTTGTTTCAATGTCCTCTAACTCTCTAGTTGCCATGGCACCTCTAATACATGGAACACACAGAAACTGGAAGTCAGCGCCATACACAACTCCCACACATGTACACACACACACACACAGTTACACAGGTCCTCCTCTGAAGGTCCCCCAAAGCATGATATGATCTTACAATCTCATCTTGCCATCACAGGTCTAACCAGAAATAATGAAAAATCCTTTCCTTGATGGGGTTGCAAATGCTAAAAATGTCATAAGTTTGATGATAACATTTTTTTGGTGTGGGATAATGCAAATTTGGTGATCCTAACACCTGTGATGATGCAATCATATTTGGTGAAATCAAAAATTAGAATTTGGTGACCGACTCCAATTTGGTGAAGATTCATTGTGATCTGATGATGGAGTCAATATTTTTGCAGGCTGAAAATATTTGGTGACAAGTTCATTATTTGGTGGGTGATTAAGAAATTTTTTACCATTTTACTTATATTTAAAGAGAGAGAATCATACAACTCATAAGAAATCCAATTAAAGCATTGAAACGAGCACATTCTTCTTCCCTGCAGGTAATATGGTTTTAATTCTTCAGGTGCTCAAATGCATAATTTCACATTTTGAATATGCTCCTTTTATAAGACTGTACCCCTCTGCATGAGAACAGGTGAGTGCACGTGTTCCTGGATGCTGATTTTCCTGGTCAATGGATAGATTGTGAAGAACACTGCACAAAAGGAAACTGAAAAACAGGAAACTTGAAGAAAACAGTCAAAGCTAATGTCAGCACCAATCCCATAGTCTTTTCAGAAAAGTGCATAGTTCATACAGATGCCAAGAGATGCTAGTCAAGCATAGCTTGGGAATAAAATTCATATGTCCTACAGAGAAAAAGGTCCTCTTTTCAAAGGTGATATCAGTTTCTTTGTGAAACATTCACTTCTCTCTCTGTAATTGTAAATATAGTGTTGGAAAAAATTATGAATAACCCTGTATATATACTTTTCACAACCTATCTACAAGGTAAGGAGAATTTTGATCTGGTATGTTAACTTCACATGAATGGGGTCTGGGTCTGTTGGAACAGATCCCCTCACCTCAGTGATGTTCTTCATATTTTTTCCTGGGCCATAGGTCATACTTTTGAAGATCTCTGAGATGAGATTCTGGCTGAGATTCATTGTTATCTTCACAAAAAAACATCACCAACCCAGTCAATGCCTAATGATGTTTCACTTCTCTAATTGAATCCCACAAGGAAGTCCATCCAAATCACATAAGTGCCCTTGAAATCTCAACAAGTGAAGAGAGCAGAAGGCTCCCAGGGCATTATAAACTGCATCAAGTATCTGACTTCAAACTTCTGGAGTTACCTCCAGGAACAAAAGCCACCATGACCTGCCAGACAAGGTTTCATTCTCATACAGATGGCATGACTTCATGTTTCAACTAACATGTCAGTGGAAACAAAAAAGTATCAACATCAAAATGACTCAAAATGATACAAAACATGCAATCAAGAGATCACAGAAGAATCAACTTGAACTTCCTCCACTTCAACTTCTCCAGCTTTTTTGGCCGAGTCCAATTCAACTGCAACCATTGCTCGACCAAACTCTGATCGGACTTCAGATTGATGATTTGGAGAGGCATCTGGTCGTCCATCTTCTCTAACATCATATGTATGCAATGGGAGAGTAGATAACCACTTCATCATTCTGTCATGCTTCAGTCAAGGTCATTAAGAATGTGTGAGAGAATAAAAAGTGAATTTCATCAATCCTGGAACCATAATGGAAAAATTCAAAATAAAAAAGACAAGTTTCATTTCCTTCCATGGCTGTAGATCTCCACAAAGGAAATGACAGCATTTTTCCTTTGAGAAATGTCCCTCATCAAAAAGGTCTCTTTGATTTCAAAATCAATATATTTCAAACTCTGGACCAAAATTCTCTACTGTTCATCCCCCAGATTTTTTTTGTATACAGGCCAATGTTACAGAAAAAAGACTGATGTCATGCTTCAATTATAGATATATGAGGTCTGTTCAAAAAGTATCCAGACTGGTGCGATTATAGACAAAATATGGTACATACAGGGTTTGGGGCTTAATATCTGTCAAAATATGCTACTTCTGAAGCCATTCACTTTGTCCAACAATCCTGCCACTCTTTAAAACATTTTTCGAATGCACTTTTCGGAAAGCTGCTCCGTCGAATTTCTTTGAATGGTCTCCACATAATCGAATCGATGTCCTTTCAGAGTCTTTTTGAACTTCAGAAACAAAAAAAAGTCGCATGGAGCCAAATCCAGCGAGGATGGAGACTGCAGTACTTGGGGGGTAGCGTTTTTGGCCAAAAATTGCTGGACAAGTTGCGAAGAGTGAGAGGGTGTGTTATCGTGATGATGCATCCAGTCTCTGGAATCCCACTACTGGGACAGTTTCCTCTGAACCGCTTCACATAGATGTCTCAAAGCTTCAATGTAAAATTCCTTGTTGGTTTTGTGTCCCTGTGGAGCATAGTCAAGGTGCACAACACCTTCACAGTCAATAAAAGCCAGTAACACGACCTTTGTTTTGCTGCGCACTTGCCGTGGTTTTTTCTGTTGTGGGGACAAAGGACTCTTCCACTCTGTCGACTGCTGCTTGCGATGGAACCAATAGAAAACTTGTGAACGAGCCATAGCATCAGCACAGTATGCTACTTTGAGTAAATCAAAAGTTTCACTGGCCGTTTTCCCAATTTTAAAACAAAATTTAATACAAACACGTTGCTTGCTACTCTCAGACATAGAAAAAATCGCTGCGAGACAAGAAACCTTGAACTTTATTGGCTCACCACAGTGGACTGATGCTACGAAATGAAGTGCAACCCTATCAGGCGACACGTCTCAACATGCAAAGACATGTTGAGCACAGTCAAAACTATGAGGGTGACCTTATTTTTAAAATAAACACCCAGTCCGGATACTTTTTGAACAGACCTCGTACTACATACTAACCAAGAATTTCACTACTACCCTTCCAGTGAAAGCCTGCTTCAAAAAGTTTCTGGAAGGATCCCTGCCAAAATTGTGAACTGCATAATAGAAAGGCCAATTTTAACAGAAAAATCAAGAACAACTTGATTAATATTCAAAGGCACAATATTCTCCAAAAGAACACACAAAGGTTACTCCCTTATGAATAAGAAAGGATACGACTTCTCTTTGATCTCCCCATCTCTGATGGTTGGATAGATTACCTCCTCCTTGAATTTTGTTACAGCTTCCTCTTCCTTTTTCCAGTCCAATGGTTCATGGATTCCATCACTCCCATATCGCTTGTCATAGTAGTCATAGTGGACCTTAGAAAAAAATGATTGGTAGTATTTTCAGTTTGATGAAGGTAACATGAATTGTCATGTTTCCTGTCTGGCTTTTCTACCTTCTCCAGTACAAGACCAAGGCTTGGAGCAATAGGGATGTCAATCCTCTTCTTGCCAAATGTTTTTTTCAAGGTTTCCCTTGATGCCAAGCCTCGCATTATGGCAATGGTTAGTCCCACCATCTTCCTGATCTGATGCAACATAAAACTTTGGCCTGAATGTGAAACATAAGAGAAAGAAAAATGATTTAGGACATGAAGACTAACTCATCCAAAAATCGGGGAACACCCTTGTACAATACTCACCTTTGACAGTGATTTCAGACCATTCATACCCATCTCGCTCAAAGGGGGGATTCATCTTCAAGCTCATGATGTACCGCTGTGCACTGGAGTCATCAGCTTTTCTGATGGCAAAGAAGCATAAATTAAAATCTCACTAATGACATGCCATTGGCAGGAGATCTAGCTAAACATATCAGAGAGTCACATCTGGATGAAAATCCTTCAGGAACTGAGATAGTGGGAATTCAACATCACCTCACTTATTGGGTCAGATGGAAATAGGAATGTATGGGATTGGGATCAGGGATTAATATTTGTTTTGAAGGGATCCTGTTTTTCTAAAGTAGTTTTAAAAATTGTGTCTCTTGCCTTATACACTTATCCTTAAAAATTGTGTCTCTTGTCTAATACTCCAAGTCTAATCTCCAAGCTCCAACAAATAGAGGAACAGAGCAAGTGTTGTTTGAGGTATTCTCATAAGAGTGGCACTGACTGAGAGTCACTTAGCATAGAATGGCAATAGTAAGTCTTCTGACAAAGGGAACATTACTGGAGGAGAGAAAAAAAAATCATGGGATTGGACAGGATCAGGGGATTCTTTCAATCAGAAGTTACTCTCTCACATGATGGAATGTAAACATGCCATTAAAACTTGGTACTTTACCTCCTTGCTGTGTAATTGTGGAAATTGTGGGTTCCTTCAAAGGATTTGATGAGTTCATTAACACCTGCAAATATGTCTGAAGTGATGCGATAGGTTTCAGTGGTCAAAACATCAGGAGGAGCAAAGGCAAATGTTGGCAGGAGATAGGAATATGTCCTAGCACAGCACTTTGTCTTTGGGTTGAAACCTCTCGTCACTCTCTTGATGGCTTGCACTTGGATCTGTGCTGGTAGGAGAGCATTCATTCGCTCCAGAGTATCTTCTTCCACCACTGGATAGATTATAACATCAATCCGAGAGAGCTCACGAACACCAAGAAGTGTTCCCAGAGGAATACAGGCAACAGACCCATCTTGATGCTGACAACTTGCCGTGCAGCAGAAACTCCCTTGTCGGTGCGTGCTGCTCTCTGGAACTGCCCTGTTTGTGGACTTACAAATACTTCATCTGTAATGCATCCTGCCTTCAACAGACTTGTGAGCAAGTCTTCCTCTATAGTAGCCATTCCTGGATTCCTTCATAGAAGAACACCTTCTATTAGCATAATCAAACCTCCATCCTGTATACCAAGATGCTGGTTTCCACAACTTTTAGACCATCAGAGTGATACATTTCTTGAATATACTGTGATAATGAAGCATCTAACCTCTGCATGCCAAAGTAGCCATTCCCACAATAGGAAAGAAGAAGGGCCATCTTCCTGGTCTTGATCCTCTGCTTCTCCAGACTGGGAGCATTTGCTAGCTTGGCTTTCTTGCACTCTGGTTCAGGGTTTTCTCTGGTCTGCTCAAGAGCTTCATGTAATCTTTCAGGGGCTCCTGCACCATGATCTTCACTCATATTGACAGTGGCTGAGAGAGCTCTCCAAAAGCACCTGGTTAATGCCCCATGCAATGCATGTGTGAACTGGATATCCACATGGGACAATATCCTTGTGAATGTCTTAACGAGTTGAATCGGTTGGAGCATGTGCAATGAACCTGTGCAAATATTAACAGATGTTGAAATGCTTAAAATCAATTATATAACATTTACCTTGGTTGACAAAAAAGTGCTAGTGACAAGAATGGTGTCTGAATGGTGACCAGTTGAAATGGCAAAACAACCATAAATATGACAATGCTCCCTGTGCAACAGCATCCATAGTTCATGGAGGCTGGGAGACAACTCTACAACAAGTAAAGAACAAATACAGGGCAAAATCAAATTTTTGCCTTATCTCGCTTTTTATTTCAATTTAACACAGATAATTCTTCATCCATGTCATAAATAGATGTAGGCCATCTGTGCACCAACTGTAAGCTTGGTCCCCTTGAGGTCCATCTGCACAGACTGAGATGTAGCATCTATGTGAAAGATAGCCTCTTTGGGACATCTTACTTTCCCCTTCTCTGGTTCAGTGAAGGATGGTAATTGCCTTGGTCCAAGCAATGGATCCTCATACCTCAAGAGAATGACTCGCTTTGGATCTGAAATTCAATTCAAAAGCAGAATGCATTGATTACAAGCCAAATAAATCCACAACTTTGAATCACTTGATCTTATCACCTTTTAGAGCTCGAGTGGTCCTTGCCATTCTGACAGCAATGCGTTCAGGGTTGTCCCCTTCAAGGATAGGCAATGTGATCTCAAAGAGACCAGAATGAGGCTGAGGGTTGATAAATACCATTGGTACTGTTAGAGCCCTTCTGAAGAAGACGTAGGGACTTCCTGGACGGCAATCTTCCTTCTTTATTTCTGTTACCTCTGTGGTATACTTCACTTCCAGGCCTTCCAACTGATTAGAAAAAAAGTTAGAAGTGCACTAAATAATGCTTCCATCAGGGATGATCATACATTCCATAATTGACACTGGACTTCATGTTGATAAATGACTCAATCAGGAAAAGACTTAGTAGCCTCCTCCCTTACATATTCTCATTGCCAAAAAAAAAAGCACGACCAAGGAGTTGAGCAATCTTGATGGAATTTGGTATATATGCTCATACTAGGATGTTATGAAATTGATTAGAATTTCAAGTGTGTGGAATGAATACTAATGGAGAAACCATACAAATTAAACCCCTTTCAATATCATACTAATAATCCAAAACAGTTATCTACATGGTTTTTACAGATGAAATGGGGTAGGAAAACTCCTAAAGATGTGCAGGAAATTCTAACAAAGTTTTGAGATTAATTAAGGATTATTATATTAATCAAGAAAAACATTTCATGATAGGGTGCATTGATATTTGTATACACACTCGAAATAGCAAATCCCCTTGAAATTACAGCATGCTGGATGCTGCACATTAAGGAATATGAGGGAAAAACTCACAATACAGCAAGATAGTGGTTCATACCTGAAGATCAGTAGTAGTACTTGAAGGATACTCTGATGGAAGTATAAATGAAAACTGTGAAGTCTCTGTGGCAGATGCACAGAATGATGTGAAATGCTATTCCACATCCCCCTTTGAACTTTGCTACCTACTCATATACACTCTGCTATGACATGCAATTCTTGACATACACTCTCTTCATTCCTGCAGTGAATTTCACTGCCCTTTCCTGTTCTGTCTCTGGATAACCACCAGTTACTTATTACTAGGGCTGTCACGATAGATCGATGCATCGATACCACTATCGATAGTTGGATACATCTATAGCTTTTTCTACTATCGTGATGCATTGACAAAGTATTTTAAAAGGGAAATGTCCCATTGGATTGAGGCGAGTACAGTACAATTCAATCCGTCCGGGCGGGTAAAGGAAGAAGCGGCGTGACGTGCAGGGGCTTGCGATTTCTTATCACAATCAAATTCTGGAAATGCTAGGACTGACTATAAGAAAGAAGGGAAGGGAAAAAAGTCGGATCGAAGACAGGAAGTGGGAAAGGGGAGGGGTGAATACCGAGATTTTTTTCTTCTTCTGTTTCTGTCTTCGGCTCTATCTCATCAGGTGCATGCTGCGGAAGTGAACTGTTCTTATACTCCCTTGATTTCGAAACCTACATTGGTTAATCCCCTCTCTATATTCCTGTCTATCACTTTAGTATGCAGGCTTAACTTTCTTAATGTTTAACTTGTCTTTGGGCATTTATCTCTAAAGGTGAACTCAAAGTGAAATTTTTACATGGACGTTGCTTATTCTAGGGCCGATGTTTCGGCAACCGACGGTATGGCACCATCAGCAGGTTTCCTATCTGGTGGTGCCAATGTCCAAAGACATTGTAGAACAAAGAAAAATAGAAAAAAAAATTACTTAAACGGGGCTTGGCAGCTGATTCTCAATGGCAATAGGAAAAAATTAGGGCTGTCCTGATGTATCCATCGATGAATGGATGTCATCTTCGAAAGTTGGAGGCATGGTAGGTTTCATTACTCTTTGCGAAGGTCACACATTCCCCCTGCACCCCCGATCACAAGCGTGAGATAATGGAAGCCGGATAGAGGTCCGCGCTCCGATCGTGGGGAGAAAAGATGGAATCCTCCAGCCCCACCCCGATGCATCGATACACTATCAATAGTTCAGGCCGATGCATCGATGTTTTGAAAACTGCTATCGTGACAGCCCTACTTATTACTAACTTCTGTGTCTTCAGGCATCCAAGGGTAATTTTTGCATATCAAATGGAATGAAAAGTGCCTGCTACAATACTAGTAGACTTCTACTTCACCACAACATTGCCCAGGGTTCACGTTACTCACTATAGTGAGTCCCTGACTCATATTTTCTGGGAGGGACTCATATTGCAAAACATCTAAGTCTGTGGGAGAACCACCTGAACATGTTCCCACTGAGCTGAAGCTAGGCACCAGGACTTGAGATTTAAAAAAGTTAGTGTGAACCCTGATTGCCTATAGCCAATTTTGGGAGGACGGTTGGCTCTGTAACTTTACAAATAGACTTCTCACTGCTGTGACCCACTGATCAATTAATAATGGAAGTCTGCTAGCTGCGTACCAAACATCAAATTGCAACGGAATGATGTAATTTGGCAGTTACACATTTTAAACAACGTGCAGTACATTCTAGATCATTATATAAATTACACATGTGTTTGGTTCATTTTATAGGGGAGTGAAGAAGCCCCAAAACTTTTTGGAGCACTGTATAGAGCAATCACTACTCCACCAAACACATTCCATGCATTCACTACCTGAAAACTAGAAGTTATTCTTCAACCTTAATTTAAAACTGCTCACATGAGAGTTCCTGAATATCTCTGATCATTTTAGCAACCTGTTCCTCAACTCTCTCCAGTGCCATCATTTCATCTATATTTGTAGACCCCAAATATTGAACACAATCTTCTAAATGGAGCCTTACCAGTGTGTTGAACAATGGGAGAATGACATGTAAGTAATCATATTGGTATTAGACACAATAGTACAGTATAAGTGGAAATATACCTCAAGGGTGCTAGTGAGATAGATGGAGTTAGTAAGAAGAACTTCTTTCTCATCAAAATCCAAGGTGACATTCAATGCCTTGAGTCCATGAGAAAGCACCTTATCCTTGGTACTCTGAACAAATGGCATAGCTTTCTTCATTTGTGGCTTCACTATCTCATTCTGGCTCAATATTCCCAAGATGACTTTGTTATCTGGGAATCCCTTTTCCTCCTGGTTTGAACAAAGACATGTATTATCATCTCAATCTGAATAGCTAAGAGAGGTAGGAGGGATAACTGAAACCATACATGGTATAATTCCTTGAGAATATTCAAGATGGCTTCCTGCCAAGGTGGGAAGGACTTTGCCACAACAACAACGGCATGAGTTGGCTTTTCAACAGGCACAGGTTCTTGACCTTTCTTTTTGGCTACTGGACTAAGGTAGCTCTTTAATCTGAGTCTGAACTCATGAGCCATATTCATCAGATATTCAGAAGCAACCAAGAGTGTGTAATCAATCTCTCCTGCTGTAGGCCATGATGCCCTGACAATGCTTTCCTTCTACATGAATCAAGAAAAACAAATTCAACAAGTTCACTTACGACAAAATAAAAGGGCAACAGTGTAACAAGGAATATGCATTACCTCACCAAGAAGTTTCCAAACATGCTCACTGACATGAGGGCAGATGGGGGATAGCAACAAGGCCTGAACACGAATGAAACGCAGAATTAAATCTAAATGAAGGCCTTCGAGGCAAAGCTCTCGATACCTGTCCCTTGCTGACTGTAGTTCAAAAAATCCTGTCCTCAATGCCTCCTTGAACAGCATCTGATCATAAAACTGCTCAGTTTCCCGAATTTTCAGATTCATTTCACTGCACAAAAGATAAAACAATAGTGGAATATATGACAAATGAATATACATGACTTAGAATGGCTTATCAGGATATATTGCAGTATTCTCACACAGACCTTTGGAAAACCTTGTCATGGAAGGTAAGGTGATCTCCAACTCTCAAGGAATCCTTACTGGCCAATATTTCCTTCACCCATTCAATAAAGGTAAACAGGCGTAGGATTCCTGTTTCAGCTTGAATCTCAACAAAGTTGGCATCCTCGATGCTGTCACCTGCATCTGCCAGTGCCAAACGCATTCCATCTGCACCAAACTTGTCTAAGGCTTCTGTCAAAGTCATGAAGTTTCCTGTTGACTTTGACATCTATAGGATCCACAATTCATCTCTCCATAAGCTACATGGTCAGATCTATTGCAGCCAGGAGAAAGTGGTGATAAAAGTAACCTTTTCAGAATTGAGGAGAAGATGTCCATTTGCCCGAACTGCCTTGGGCCATAGCTCTGGGTGTTGTGGCCACATAGCCACATGGTTATACAGATAATATGTCAGATGATTCTGGATCAGGTCTTTCCCTGATGAACGAAGATCAACTGGATACCAGTACATAAATTCTCTTCGTAGTTCATCCAGAGCAGATTGTGGAATAGCTGAATTCACTGGCTTTGGAGAATCAGGGAGGAATACATAATCCCAGACATCAGGAGTCATTTCGTCAGCCCTGAAATTCAACATGTCTAGCTGGAGTACCGCTTTAGACATGAATGCATCATTTCAGGAAGCCACCACATTACCTGATGTTAAGATGGTTGGGTCTGCTTCCATCAAAGGTACCACCCTGAAGAAGATGGGCAACAGTGTAGAATGCCATGTATATGGTAGAATCAGATAGAGACTCAATCAGCCAATACTCGTCCCATGGCAACTTTGTCCCTGCAATTCATGTATTAGCATTAAGGCCTTGTTCACCTAGACAAATTCAAGTTGCTTTTCTGCAGTTGAACTGGTTCTATGATGGAAATAAAAACTAATCAGCATCATAATCTGGCTTGAGCTAAAACTTTTTCCTTCCTTACTTTAGATGAACTTTTCAGCTTGAGTCAGGCACTTAAGCATTGAATCATGCTGGAATGAGTTCTTGCAATTGACAGAAGTCATACACTGAGTTACTGATGATGCATAATGATGTGACTCCTAGAAGATTTCACTGAAAATTATATGGCTAGTTTTGAAAGTATATTAAATAGAATTATTTTTGAAATAGGTATTATGAAAGACATTCTTTTTTTTCATGAAGCACTCCATGTACTTTAATTGAATTTAAGATATTTCGAGACAATAGGTTGCATTTCTAATTGTTGGGAAAACTACAAAATACTTTCCTTTGCTTGTTAAGCAAATCTAGTTACATATTAGTCTAGACCTGCACTATTTTGTAGGCTTGGCCAGACCTGTCACTTTGCTCCTCTGAAGCTGAGCCTTGTTGTCTATGAAACACATCATTGTGCTGGTTAGTGCTAGTGTTATTGCTTTGCCTCTCCTTAGCCAAATCCCAGCAATAAAGCCAAGTGCAATAGCTTGAGTCTAGGCTAAGTTAGCATCATCACTTTGTTCCCCCAAATCTGAGCCCTAATATCTATCACCCACACGGGTTTTTGGCTTTCATCATAATGCTCATCCATACCCAAGCCAAGCATCAAAGACCAATCATATGGGATTTTTGTTGCATTGCAACTTTGTTCCTCTGCAGCAAGGCCTCTAGATCTAAGTCCCACATTCCCATGGGTCTTGGTTATAATCATTGTTTGCCCTTCCATATCCATAACCCATGCATTTGCATGAGTCTCAGATACTGTTACCACTATGCTCCTCTGTAGTTGAGCCTCAATATCCAAGACCCATGCTTCTTTTGTGTGGGCCTCAGCCTCAGTCACAAACAGCAGCTAGAACAACAAGGTTTATTTCACACTTGCCTCTATGTATCCTTTGAGCATGTAAAAATGTTGGTCCATTTATCTCTGGCCATTTCAGAACATGAGTGATTTTACAAAATCAACTGGAATTTTATTTTTGCACTCGCACCTGGATGTGAATGGGAGGACCTGTCCAACTCACTAGGAATTCTTTAGACAGATTTTTTCCTCTGCACTTCAGAATCCACTGAGAATATCTCTTACTCGTCTTTATGTCTGGCAATTTGCAGATGGGAATTTTGCATCCTAGGATTATCTTCTTGAGAAACAATGACTTCTTCCTCATGAATGCAGTTTTCTTCAATTCCAGCTGGTTCTAGACTTCGCTCCTCCTCTTCCTCTCAGATGAGCCATTTTTTGCAGCGAGTGAATCAATCTTAATCTCAACCTTCAACCAATTACAATATGGCTACATTTCTTTCATCCTTTACTAGGAAATACTTGCAAAATTACACTCCTCCTGATTCTTTTGTGAAGAACAGGACTTTTATGCATAGACAGAGGAGCTCTGGCCCAAGATTGGTGCCCTCTGCACATACCAACTATTCTTTGTCACTGTGTTTCATCGCGTAAAAATAAAATTCGAGTTGCCTTTGAGTTTTTGCTCCTGTGCTGGAGAAAAATTAACAATAATTTTAGGATGTTTAAAGGATTCATAGATGTCATTGCAAAAAAATTTTTGCCCTACTCCCTGCTGTCTCATGAACTCCTATGAATCTCAAAGAGCAGCACATTTTTATTTGTCTGACGCAGTATATATGTGTGCCATCTGCTAGAAAATTAAGATTCACAGATTCATGCTTTTAGATTCACAATATTCCTAGCACAATTCATATGAATTAATTTCATCAATTGGAACAGCAGCTGAACATGCAACTAACTTCAAATGTGCTTTTCATTGCAATGACAAGATGGCTTTGAAGAAATATCATGCTGATCATGATTCAAATTATATATATGACCTCTTATGTGAAGATTCTGTCAATGTTGACATCAGCAATTTATGGGGAATTGGGTGCGAATTTTTGTAAATAAGTAAATTGTGTTGAAAAGTATCTCACAGGCATGTTCAACATTTATTTTTCAGTGCAACTTAGTTGCATTTATTATTAAACATATATCATTCTAAAACTGAAAGAACAAGATTTAAAATGCAAAAGAGAATCATAATTCTATCTTTCTTAGATTGCTTTCAGCAGTAGTCTAAAAACTGTAAAAAAAAAAGAAAAAAGAAGCTAAGTATCTGGGGAGTAACAAGCTTCTTTTTTAGAGCTCAAACTCCAATGTGCTAAAATATTTTTCTCAAGATATCTCATGTGAATTTGACAATGTACAATGTCCTGTATCACAGCGACACCTGACTTGAGAACAGTCTGTGATATCATGGCATTTACAGGAGATGAAAGACACTTTCGTATTTTTGAAGCTATGGTATTTCATATACTGGGTGGCCCAAATTAAACTTATCCTGTTTGACACTTTATAAATCCCTCTGTGGATCATCTACATTTGTGATGCTTTTTTACCATATTGGAAACATCACAAAATTTGTTTTCTGGAAATTTCATGTACCTAGGTTGTCTACATAAAAATTGACAGTTGTTCGAAGTGGAGTCATAAAATGTACCTTTTCCATGCATGAGGTAGATGGAGTTTCAGCTCTGTTAGAATGATTTCTCTCCCTTGACACCATAAACACTGCTTTGTATGCCATGTCCTTCTCATTGTATTCTACATGTTGTAGAATAGCACTACCATCATATGTCGTAGCATCAGAATTGATACTACACAGATTACTACAATGAGAACTGGCATAAAAAGTAGCATTTATGACATCAAGGGAATGAAATCATTTGAGCAGTGCTGAGACTCCATCCAACTCATGCATGGAAATGGTACATTTTATGACTCCACTTTGAATGACAGTCAATTATTATGCAGACAACCTAGGCACATGATACTTTCAGAAAATTTTTTTGGTGTTTCCAATGTGGCAAAAAAACATAATGAATGTAGATCATCCACAGCAGGTTTTATAAAGCGTCAAACATGAAGAGTTTTTTTTGGACCAATGGTATATTTTAAACACTGTGCTTTAGACACTCACTGTCAGGGTATTTTCATTTTGTACTTGACAAAACTCAGCAGCTAGTATTTTGCATTTTGAATATTACCCTAATAGAGGATTTTTTCAAGAGCTGTTAATAAAATAAGCACCTAAACTTGGCTCAAGGAATGCTGCTTAAATTTTGTCATGCAAATCATGCCTGATTCATGTGAAGAGCTCTCCCATCAACACTCACCTAGGCCATAGGTTCGTGAGCAGGCATGCTCATGTAGCCAGTCAAGTGTGGCAACAAAATTCTTCCGAACTTCCTCATGATATGAATTAATTTGGTTCAGAACCTTGTGAGCTTCTTCTTTCCATTTGGGTTCCCCATAATCCAAGAACCACTGGTCACAAAGGGCCACAACACAATCATCTCCAGATCTGAAAAAAATTCAGCACTCCATTGAAGATTGGTTTCAATAGAGTTTCCAAAAAGTAAATTATGGAAAAAAAAGAAGGAAAAATCATTGAACCTTGAGATGATGGGCTTCTCTGGTTCCATGTAAACTGCAGCTTCACCAGAGTCAGTCAAAGATTTCTGAATAGCCTTCTTCACATCCTGAATTTTGCAGCCTTTGTGTTCTCCAACTAAGAGGACCTAAGGAAATTATATTTTCTATCAGTCTATGTCAATTCTTTCCAAGGCATTCTTTGAATAATGTCTTGGAATAAAAAAATAACCAACTCCATCATAGAATCCCTTGAGATACACCATCTCTTTGGCCTGAGTAAGTTTCTCTTTGTCATTCTGACTCTGGATTTTCAACTGATCCACAACTGTCACTGCACTTAAATTTCCAAACTCAGGGATCTCCAAGATTGGCACCTGCAAAGAAATTTATCAAAACATGAATGAAACACTTAACTCATAATTAGTATTTTTAAAAATAAAGTGGATCCTCACAGGTTGAAAAGCAAGAACCATGTTGTCAGAAATCCCATACTTTGAGCGCAATGCAGGTTTATTCTGCAAGTCCCTGAGGGCAGCCCAGTCATCAGGTGAATCAGAAGGGACACTTGTCACAATTCCTGTCCCCTTGTCTTCTTGAATAGTCAACATGGGCAAAGCATAAATCTCATTGTAAGAAGTTAGAGGTGCTTTCAGGCAGGCTCCCAATAGTTCCTGATTCCACAAAACAGGATAACATCAATGGAAAAAATTTGGACTAGAAGCAGAGTAGATAGGGTGGCTCACCTGCCCTTTCAAATGTAGCTTTACTTCAACACAGCCATTACTGACAGTAAAACCTTGATAGGACATATTCCTGGCTGCTCTCTCACTGCAGATATAGATTTCTCCATCTGTTGTTTGGAATCCAATGTAATCCAAATCTGGGTGAAGCCAGCAGTTGGTCTGCCCATACATAGTTTCAGGACGAAGGGTGGCTGCCACCAGGAATGTCTTCTGTTTTGCCACTGTCCTAACAAATATCATGGGATGTTCCTCTATAAGCCTTCATCTAAAGGCAATTCCATAAGTACCTAAGAGATTAAATTTCTTGAATGGTAATGGTACTTGAGGCATGCAGGGTATGGGTGCAGGATCTCAAGCTTGATGAGTGTGTATTCCTGGGGTCCAACACCTTCACCTGTGCTTCGATCATGGTCCATGCATGGCTGACCATCTTTTGGTGAATAGATGGTATATCTTTTTCCAAACTTCACCTTATCCTTCTCCTTCAGTCGAAGGAACTGCCACCGCACAAAGCTGTCATAAAAGGGATTTGCATCAGTGGTGATGAAAGTTCTCCTCCAATCAATCTGAAAAATAATCATTCATGAAATTATGACATCATCATGGGACTTCAAGAGAAAGGAAGAATCATAAACTGACATGCAGGCCCATGGCTGAGAGATCTTGTTTTGCAAGAGGAGGAAAGTATTGAAGCCAAAAGGATGTATCAGCAAAATTCTTGATCTCCTCATCAGTCAGACCAAGACTTTGCATGATCTGCCACTGGTACTTGCTCCCACCTGTCTTTGCTGCAGCCTTACTCTACAATATAAATTCCATTATTGACAAAACTTACAGTAGACCTAAACAAATTTTTAGCAGATGGTCACATCAATTAGTATTAATCATAGATGAAATAATAACAGTGAAGTGCCCTACCTTTTTGCCTTTGCTCTTGTCAACTGCTAGATCTCTTGAATCATCATCCTTTGAAGAGTGACTATCCTTTTCCATTGGAAACTGAGGTGGACAGCCAAATTCTTCCATTTCCCTCTTCAATTTGTCAGCACAAGCTTTGATTGGCATACCAGTGCAATGAAGACCGAGAGGAAACAACACATGCTTTCCTTTCAACCTCTGGAATCGTACTGCGAACTGCAGGGTATGCAATGTGCATTCCCATAGATTTAAAAACAGTTTAAGGGAAACAGGAAAATCTTCCATGAATGATACTCGCTGAGCAAATCCTGACCTCAATTTTTGAGATGGAGAAAGTATGACCAAGGTGCAGTCGTCCATTCATGTAGGGATATGGGAAAGTGACAAAGAACTTATTCTTCTTCCCTACATTTTTTTCTGCATTTGCCTCAAAGATCTTTTTTTGAGACCACTGACATTGGACTTCTCTCTCAATGTCCTTCAGCATCTCCACTTTAAATGTCCCTTTTCGTTCCATCTCTTATATGATAACCTGTGGAACTCCAGAATCTGGAAAGCACAAGGGCTGCATGCAGGGATGCAAGACAATTCCCAAGTGTAATAGAACAGAATAGAACAGGAGAGAAGTTACCAAGACTCCTTACTCCTGAAAGAGCAGGACTTGGCAAAAATGACTTTTGTTATCCATATGGAAGATGTAGGTGGTGTGCTTATGATTATCATGCATTTGGTCTGGGCACTTTTGACAACATTTCCATCCCAAGTGGGCAATGATTGCCCAGGATAACTGAGAAAGCTAATACAATAAGGACCCACCCCCCCTCCCCATGTTCCTATAGGAAGCCCTAAGGGTCAAGGGTGTCCTAATGCACCCTGCAAGATGATTTGAAAAAAAAAAGAAACAATAATATAGATGAAAGATGAGACAGTAGCACAGTGGTATGTGCATAGACACAGGGAAGAGAGAGAGAGTTTGTGTTCACCATATAACTGTAGCAGACATAAAAGATCTGGACACATAAAGCATTTGTTCAGCTTCCCCACCCTGACACAAGTCTTAGTTTATCATATACTTAGTTTTCAATTTTGCAGCCCCAACGACAAATAAGTTTCCACATCTCTCCCTTAGAAGCAGCTCATGGGTAATGTTGGCCCACAACTGAAGTGAGTTGTTTTAAGGTGCATTACACCCTTTCTCATAACCATACAGAGAGGTATGTGTGTTTTCCCAATGCAGATACTCCCCCAAAAGCAGGTGGATTGCCTGGTGGCCTACTGCCACCCAGACTTAACCCCCCCCCATTATGGGTTTGATACTAAATTCTCAAACACTCAGTCAATGAACATGTTCTGCTATTTTTCAGGATGGCAAAAGGAACAAACTAGGCCTGGGTGATGTCAGTTGATATGCCAACACTTCATGATAATGGAAATGAGCCATATTTTGTGAAATGTCCTTGTTGACAACCTGCATCAAGTTCTCAGATATTTTTTAAATTATAAAATATACTTCAAATTCAAAGTACACTCTCATTTCCTTCAATCAATCAGTCAGACAGAGAAATAAATCAGAAATGGAAATTAGTGTCAAACAGGGATGAAATTTACATGCAGATATCACATTGGATTAAAATGTGCAGCAGCAACATAATATAACTTATAACTCTGTTTCTTCTTCACAAAGCAAGCACATTTTCCATTGCCTTTTCACTGGCGGTGATTTCTTCGATGCCCCTCCCACTGTAACTAATAAGCAATAAAAACAGAGACCCAGCCTTGAACCAAGGCAGCCAGATCATTTTTGTATTGCAAACAAGCAGATCTTGCATCTTACTTAACAGCATGATATACATTATTTAAAAAATTACAAAAAAAAGCAAACATCATTGAGGTACATTTCCAAGATCCGTGTAGCAAAAATCACAGGTAAGTAGATCCTATCATGGGAAGGGAAGACTCCTATAACAGCACCAGAGAGTAAGATCACATTATGCTTGGGAATTGCTGCAGCACTTCTGCCACATGATTTGAAGATGGTGAAGACACTGATGAAGGAGAGGAAGACAATGAGGAATGGGTCTTTTTATTGTGCTTGCTCAGACTACTTGTTGTGGTGAAGCTGATCTGGCAGAGACCACAGGAATAAGGCTTCTCACCTGTATGTGTCCGCACATGGTATGTGAGGTCACCTGCCTTCACAAAACCCTTACTGCAAACTTCACATTTGTAAGGTTTCTCTTGAGTATGGATGCGCCTATGGTACACCAAAGAGCTCATCTGGGAAAAAGTTTTGTCACAGGTTTCACAAGTGTATGGTTTTTCACCCGTGTGCATTCGTAGATGTGCACGAAGGGCAGATTCAGTCGTGAAGCCTTTGCCACACATCTCACATACAAAGGGCCGTTCACCAGTGTGGCTGTACATGTGAGTCTCCAAACTTCGCTTGTGTTTGAAGTCCTTATTGCAGATGGGGCAAGAAAATGGATGCTCACCCTTGTGAATGGCACGAATGTGATTATATAAGGCACTGGTAAGAGTGAAACCTTTCCCACATATCTCACAAGTATAAGGTTTCTCACCTGTGTGGGATCGACGATGAACTGTCAAGTCACCTGCTTTGATGAATCCCTTCCCACATAGCTCACAAGAATGAGGTCTCTCCTTAGTATGAATCCTCTCATGGTAAATGAGAGTACTCTTGGCTGCAAAGCTCTTCCCACATTGCTTACAACGATGAGGTCTTTCACCTGTGTGACATCGAAGGTGAGAACGTAGATTCCCAGTGTTTTGAAACACCTTCCCACAGAAGCGGCAATGCAGACTCTCCCCAGCATGGACAGTAACATGATTTCTAAGTAGAATCCTGTCAGTAAATCTCTCATCACAATAGATACAAGAGAAGGGACCTTCCAAGACGAGACCATCCCCTTCTTCACCTGGAAGCTCAAGTTTTTTGGGCCTGATCTTTCTCCTCCTTCCTTTCATTTCAGAACTAGAGTTCTGATCATAAAATCCATCTTCATCCATCTCCATGTTGACCTCTGGTATTTCAAGTATGCTTGCATTGCACTTGTACCCTGAACTATGATTTGGCAGCAGATCCAGACCAGCAGCCATAGACAAAGGTGGAGAAGGGACACAAGGCAGTGAAAGTGGAGAGATAGAGGTGGAACTTCTAAGATCGATCCCCAGGCAAGATGCCAAGCTGAGGATATTCCCAAGATCAGATGACATAAGGGAAACTGTACCAGTGTACAAGAGATGCACAAGCTTCTGCATATCATCATATGATGCATCAGGTAGGAAAATTTGATATACTTGTCCATTCCATTTACTTGCTTCTGCAAGCAGCTTCTGAAAGAGAAAAACACATAATCAGGTTCAAGTTATTCAAGGATTGGTATAGCCAAGGTACAAAAGTAGGGAAACACCAGCACCCTCACATGCACATAATGCATATGGTAATGAGGCATATATCATCATGAGGTAACAGTACAATACAGGCAGCTTCGAAAACACCATTTCCTCAGAGGTTCTTGACCTTTGCAGTCCTCTTTCCATGACATAAATTTAAGTTATGATGCACTTGGCTTTTGAAATTTCCTTTACTGGAATACATTTAAGGTCCCTTTCATTGACCAGTACATCTAATCAGGAGTTGCTTTCCAGTTAATCTGCTAAAATTGCAGGCTTTTGCATTCATTTCTCTTCCCCTCTCAACAAACAAAGGGGGATATATATACCCTTTGTCTTTTGTCCAGGTATATAATCCTCTTTTTTTATTATTCCTAAGTTGAAATCAGTAAAATGTTTGAATATGAAAATACACACATTGAAAAGCAGAACAAAAATTGTTTATTTATACAGATACACTAAGATGCAAAAGTCCTTGTCCCTCGCATAAGTCAACTTTCTGGAAGCATATCTCTGGAAATTTCTGGTAAGATTTTTGAGAACTCTCTAGGTGAGGAAAGGTCTATATATAGCTGTGAAAACCACAAATCGTCGTAAACACTCTTGAGTAGGGAGAAATTGCCACGACAATGAAATTCTATTTCGCCGAAAACGAAGCGATATATTTTACACTCCTGGAACAACGACCATCGATCTCCTGCCACAATTGCTCGTCTGATGAAGTTTCCCGTTCGGGCTGTCAATATTGGCGGGATCAAAGAACAAGGCATGATGGAGAACAGACGCCGTAGTGACGGACCCCACAGGATCACCGCCGCTGCCGACAAGGCAACTCGGCCAGTGGATTCGACGAAACCATGAGACAACGGCGAAAGAACTGGCGAAAAAGTTGCTTCATGACCGAGGTCGGCACGCGTCCCGATAGATGGTACAACGCCAGCTCAAACGCCAGAGCAGGATGGGCTACAAGAGTATTTTGTCTCATGCGACGCCAATATTGACAAAGAAGCACTTAGATGCGCGCTTACAGTGGACAATTCGACACAGGAACGACGATTGAAGCCAAACGGTATTCACCGACGAGACCTCCAACCAATTATTCAGAAACACGATTCGTCGATGGTCAAAGAATCCAAGAGGCAAGGTCAAGCGAATCCCGAAGAACAGACAGAAGATTATGGTGCGGGCGGCTTCAGTGTCATGGGTCTGGTCGGCTGTCATTCGTTCGAGAGAATTATGCCCTTGCTACGTTCAAATCCTTCAAAATCACCTCCTCCGTAGAGCCAGAAGGCAGTTCGGTCGCTGCTGGCGACTGCAGCAAGACAACGATCCCAAACAGAAGTCGAGTGACGAAGCAGTTCTACTCAAGGAAGTACCCGAAACGATCGACTGGTTGTCGAACAGTCCCGACGTCAATCCAATCAAGGACCTCTGGTCGATCCTCAAACACCGTATCGAGAAGCGGAAACCATCAAAACTCGATGAATTGGACAATTTCCGCAGGAAGAATGGAATAGAATCGACTTGGCCACTTTAAATCATTTGGTCAGGTCGATGAAAGCGCAATGTTTGGCTTTGATTGACTCGAAGGGAGAGACGATCAATTATTAATTGTGATACTTTTGTACCTTGTCCCATGCCTTATCTGTGAATAAAATTGGTTTTGATATTCATCCCATCCACCCTGAGAAATATCTGAAATACTGGGGGCAAAGACTTTTGCACCTTAGTGCATAATGAAGTAGCCTCTGTGATAGCCTATACTTTGTACATACTCTTTGGCCAAAAATCTGTCAATTCTCACATGCATTTCAAGTGCAGCAAAGCAGGATGGCAAGGGCTTGCGTCATGGCAATAGTCACAATAAAAAAAAGCTGCTCAACCCATGTCACTGCATGGACTGGCTCTTGTCTGGAACTAGCAGGGTATTGGGACTAGTAAGACTTCTGGCCTTCAACTGATGATTGATTGGGTCAATCATTTGGATGAAATAAAAGCCATGGAGCATTTCTGCGGAAGAGTTGAAGCTCTTTAGTACAAGCAAGAATGGTCTCAGATCATCTTGTTCGATTCCCAGCATACTTCCCCTTAAAAAACATAATCCAGTCTGGACTTTAGCAGTTCAGATTTGAAAGCATGCTTGATGACTGCAGTTTTTGCTGCATGAAAGATACTCAGGCTATTGGGAATTTTGGAAAATCAATTCATGGAAGCAATGAGAGCTACTGCCAAGCTTCGTTCCAATTACATTGAGGTGCCCCATGAACCAACTGAGATCACAGCAAATAATCTACAGACAAACTGGATTTTCTACATGGATGAGTTAATTACAGTACCCATTCAATGCTCTTTGATTCCTGATGTTGAGATGTACAGTGGGCAAAAGGCATTTCCAACCCACCAATTTCAAAATTGTAATATGCTGTCTAGGTTCAATATGTGATGCAAGGATATGGTGTAAAAATTTACTCAAGATAAAATTTAAGCCTGGTGATTGAAGGACTGCAGCTGGGAGGTGCAGGGCACTCATGCGAGAACTTTTTCCTCATTCACTTGGAAAATCCCTCCACATGCATAGAGATTCTGAACAATTCTACAAACAAGGAAACTTGGAATGCTGTGAAAAACATACATAGAATTTGAAAGAAGAGGTTTTATTTTATATTGCCTTGCAAAGAAAATTTTTCACAAGATTTATCTACTCACATACTACTAGCAACTACTGTACTATAGACATGTAAATGTTGGACTTCGGATGGGCATTGCCAAGTAAAAGAGCAAAAGGATGGAATAGCCATTAGGGCAATGGTGTACAACCTTTATTGCAAAAAGGGCCAATATGAGATTTCAGCTGAAGTAAGTCCAATATAAATATGGATTTTTGAGACTGGAGGCATCCAAGGAGCCACAAAAAAGGTCTCTGTTGGCTGTGGGTTGTGTATCACTGTTTTAGGGTGTCTTACATCCAGCAACAGTCTTATACTGATGACAACAGTTCTTTAACATTTATTTTTCTCCTTCATGTCCAAAACACAGCAATGATCAAAAGGATGAAAAAAATAATTTTTATTCTCAGATATGGGAAACAACAGAGGGATAGAAAACCAAAGAAAAACTCCATGTTGGTTAAAATCATACCATAGTCATTGCAGTGCTGGTTTTGACATTTCCATCATTCTCTCTGAAGATGACTGTTTTTAATACTTTTATGATAAACAATAACCCTATAGAGTGAAGTGTTCAGCTTGATCAAGGAGTATAAGAACTTCTAAATATGAAATACTACTTAACATAAATAACAAAAGTACTACTTTAAATAAAACAAGTAACTCAGGGCTAAAAGATCACATATCTAGTAATGGGAATTCAGCTTACCTATTATCAAGATGCTCTTTGCTCAATGATTGTGTTTGAAATTCTATAAGCTAAGATCAGAGATTTATCAAATTTCTTCTCTTTACATTTTCCCAACATCTCTGGATGATTACAAGCTATGCAAACATGCCAACAAATATGCATGATTATATATGGGCAAATACATGGAACAAATTAAATAACTGCAATGAATGAAAATGAGACATCTCCAGAAAAGTATCATGGATTGCCATGAAATTTAAGATATAGCATAAAACATCAGGAATTTCTCAGAAAAATGCTTTTGGGGCTGGTTCTGAGTCAAATTTGCATACATTCACACTTTGTTACAGGTTGGAGTATAAATAGTGTGTGATTGCAATAAGATCAACTGACAAAATGGCATGTTTAAAAATAATACAGTATGTGGCTTTTGTGACCTGTTATACTGCAAATGGATGTTATATTTGTGCAATGCAGGCAGTCTACAAGCAGATTGGAGTTCAGGTCTGGCCATCAACCACAAATGTTGATGACTCTCATTAAGCACCTTGAATGGACAGAAAGCATTCAGGATAGCATAAGAAGTGACCAACCAGTAACCCCTGTGGCAGTGGCACCACCATGGTTTCATGACAGTTGGATTTTCAACAAAAAAAGGTATGGAAATCATACAGTGTACTCTGAGACTTAACACAATGATGACTGAATCAGAGTTTCCTCAGAAAAGTGGATGGATTTAAATTTACTGCTGTAGCATCATTTCTGTTACTCTGGCAAAATAAGTTATTGGGTCTGTTGATAGATGGCATTCTCTGTCACTGCTCTGAGCACATGCAAAATGGTTGGTCCAGAAGATGTGAAAGATGGTGAAAATCATGGATGTGAATGTGCTAACATTTTTTGGATTCACTGTCAGCAGTAGCTGCCATCAGGAGAAATGTGGGACATTGTCATAATAAGGCTTGGTCTGAATGGAAATTGATGTGGATAGGATGCGAGTATCTGGTAGATGGACCAGGTGAACTTCCATTTGTCTGGAGCTGTTAACACACAACTGCAGAATTTGGTCATCAGAGTATCTGCACATCATTAAACCCTAGACCCTTCATCAGTCCATCAGCCTAGGATGACAGAGCAGGGTGGTTTCACTTGCGATTGGTGGAGATCATAACATAGTGATGATCACAGCAATGTGCAATAAGCACACGTCAGGGAATACAGTACTACCAGCTCTGAAATAAAGAGGCAGACTCCACAACGCTGTTTCAGCAAGTTGGTGCAATCCCATACATCAGCTCTGGAGCACAGGCAACATTAAAGAAGTACTTTGGTGGCTGTGTTATCAGTTGCATAATTGATATCCCATGATTCCCTGGCTCACTCAATCTGTCACCATCAAATTAGAGGCTGCGGGGTTAACTGAAAAGCAAGGTTTTACTTGAGGGCCAATGCAATTTGGCCACCCTAAAGGATGTCATTGTAAGAAGGATTGCAACCATTTCCCCTGCCTATAGAGAAGCTGTGGGCCACTTTGTGGAATGCAATTGATGTAGTTGGCTCTGGACACTGAACATCTATGACTGTCTATCCTGCCTTCAAACAATTGGTTATAATTAAGGCTGTACTGATGTAACGGCTAACACGGGTATTGGCCACCAGTGTTGCACTATTGGTGCCATCAGCCCATGGCACTGGTGCCAGTGCCAATGCCCAAAGGACGGGCAAAGTGAAAAAAAATCACATGAGGGTGTGAACATGGCTAGGCGCCAGCCCTCCTGTCTCACTGAAAGCCACTCCTGCCAGTCTCTCCCAGACAAAAATATGGTTTGGATTATATTCCAGCCAGATTATAGGAATAGGCAGAGGAAGGTAACTGTAAAGATATCATTGCATCTCCATTTATATCATGCTTTTACAAGGGATGTGTTACTAAATGCTCTGAACAGGAGCAATGGGTAACAAGCTAACCACTGAAAGCCTCATAGAGAAACAGACAGGTTGGACATTACCAAAAATGGCCTGTATTGTTTCCAGTAGGCCCACTGATACGTATCACATGGCTTCCAATTAGACCTATTAGAATTTTAAAGGCAATTTCATCTACAGGCCACAATTGGCACTGGCACAGGCCGATGGTTACGAGGAAAAAATTGGTCACCAGCCTACTGGCCAAATGTGGAAGGAAAGGAAAATTATTCCTTGCAGCACCACCTTTCCAAGAACATGTGTGAAAAAAATCCATAATATCTCAAATTATGATATTACATTTCAAGGAATCCATTAAGCCAGAGGTTCTCAAATTTTTCACTCATGGCAACCTTTTTTGGAAACAA